ATTAGAGTGTAAGCTCCTCTGGTACAGAGACCTGATTGGGACTGTGGGGGAGGGACAGTACTAAGCTCACTCCTCTTGTACAAATATCCCCAACTACCTCTCCCTTTACATAGATAGTGTGGGACTGTGGGGGAGGGGACATTAGAGTGTAAGCTCCTCTGTACAGAGACTGATGGGACTGTGGGGGAGGGGACATTAGAGGTAGCTCCTCTGGTACAGAGACTGTACAGAGACTGGTGGGACTGTGGGGGAGGGGACATTAGAGTGTAAGCTCCTCTGTACAGAGACTGATGGGACTGTGGGGGAGGGGACATTAGAGTGTAAGCTCCTCTGTACAGAGACTGATGGACTGTGGGGGAGGGGGACATTAGAGTGTAAGCTCCTGTGGTACAGAGACTGATGGGACTGTGGGGAGGGGACATTAGAGCGTCAGCTCCTGTGGTACAGAGACTGATGGGCCTGGCTTGGTGTTCTCTGTACAGCGCTGTGGTATATGTTGGTGCTATAGAGTGATGATATTTTGGATTCTTGTAGACTAGTGATGTCTCATGTTTGCCCTGAGATGTCGGATTTCTGGGCTCCTAGGATCCATTTCCTCTGTTGGCTCCATGTATGGTGTACAGGAAGGAATCCGATGTTCTTCTTGAGGTTGGTGGAGGATTTGGTCTGAAGATCAGCAATTAGAAGTCTCATTATTGCTCTGTTGTGTCTTCATGTGTCCCATCTGTACACCGCCACTGCCTAGGGACTCCCTCCAGTCACTTCTCACATATCTTAGACAAAACAACAACTTCCGATGACAGTCCGGCCTTCACAGATGATATTGGGATTCCCCAGAGGAGTTTGTGGTCACGGATTGGAGAAGACACCTGTGTGGTCCCTATAGAGCTGCCAAATGACCCCCACCCACCCAATAACCTGTCCACCAATCACCACGATGGAGTCCTCCACACCTGTTTTATGTCAGATGTATGAAAATCACCAGAAATAGATGGCTTCCTACATCTCGTCTCAGAGTGGACAACCCGCGACTCATACTGTATGGGTGTCATATGTGCTCCTGGAAGGACAGTCAACCCTGACTCCTACCTATATGAAAGGAGTCCCTTCCCGAGTCCTCCCAATGAAGACATGAAAGGAACAGGAAACATTCACATCATTCGTTGTCCTCTCCCATCACCATGGTAACTATAGTGGGGTTGAGGCCATGTTCCTGTGATTGTAGGGCCCAGTGTGGTCTGGAAGCCATGTTCTTGTAATTGTAAGGACCATAGTAGTGTGGAAGTTATGTTCCTTTGATTTTGGTGCCCGCGGTGGGGTGGAGGCCATGTTCCTGTGATTGCATGGTCCAAGTGGGGTAGAAGGTAAGTTTCTGTGATAATGGGGCCCATAGTGGGTGGAACGCATGTTCCTGTGATTGTGGGGACCTTGGTGGGGTGGAGGCCATGTTCCTGTGATTGCACAGTCCATAGTGGGGTGTGGGGTGAAAAAGGCATGTTCTTGTGATTGTAGGGACCATAGTGGAGTGGAAGGCATGTTCGCGTCATTGTGGGGCCCATAGTGGGGTGGAAGGCATGTTCCTGTGATTGCACAGTCCATAGTGGGGTGGAAGGCATGTTCTTATGATTGTAGGGACCATAGTGGGGTGGATGGCATGTTCCTGTGATTTTAAAGGACATTGTGGAGTGGAGGCCATGTCCCTGTGATTGTGAGGACCATAGTAGGGTGGAAGGCATGTTCGCGTCATTGTGGGGCCCATAGTGGGGTGGAAGGCATGTTCTTCTGATTGTAGGGACCATAGTGGGGTGGATGGAATGTTCCTGTGATTGTGGGGCCCATAGTGGGGTGGAGGCCATGTTCCTGTGATTTTAAAGGACATTGTGGAGTGGAGGCCATGTGCCTGTGATTGTGAGGACCATGGTTGCGGTGTTGGAAGGCATGTATTGTTCCTGTGATTGCAGGGCCCATAAGTTGGGTGGAAGGCATGTTCCTGTAATTGCACAGCCCATAGTTGGGTGGAAGGCATGTTCCTGTGATTGTGGAGCCCATAGTGGGGTGGAAGGCATGTTTCCTGTGATTGTGGGACCCCATAGTTGAGTGGAAGGCATGTTCCTGTAATTGCACAGCCCATAGTTGGGTGGAAGGCATGTTCCTGTGATTGTGGAGCCCATAGTGGGGTGGAAGGCATGTTCCTGTGATTGTGGGACCCATAGTTGGGTGGAAGGCATGTTCATGTAATTGCACAGCCCATAGTTGGGTGGAAGACATGTTTCTGTGATTGTGGAGCCCATAGTTGGGTGGAAGGCATGTTTCTGTAATTGCACGGCCCATAGTTGGGTGGAAGGCATGTTGTTTCTGTAATTGCACGGCCCATAGTTGGGTGGAAGGCATGTTCCTGTAATTGCACAGCCCATAGTTGGGTGGGAAGGCATAGGCCCATAGGGGGTGGAAGGCATGTTCCTGTGATTGCACAGAGCCATAGTTGGGTGGAAGGCATGTTTCTGTAATTGCACGGCCCATAGTTGGGTGGAAGGCATGTTCCTGTAATTGCACGGCCCATAGTTAGTGGGTGGAAGGCATGTTCCTGTGATTTTAAGGCCTATAGTGGGCTGGAAGGCATGTTCCTGTGATTGTGGGACTCATAGTTGGGTGGAAGGCATGTTCCTGTAATTGCACGAGCCCATAGTTGGGTGGAAGGCATGTTTCTGTAATTGCACGGCCCATAGTTGGGTGGAAGGCATGTTCCTGTAATTGCACGGTCCATAGGTGTGGAAGGCATGTTCCTGTAATTGCACAGCCCATAGTTGGGTGGAAGGCATGTTCCTGTAATTGCACAGCCCATAGTTGGGTGGAAGGCATGTTCCTGTAATTGCACGGTCCATAGCGTGTGGAAGGCATGTACCTGTGATTGTAAGGCCAATAGCGGGGGTGGAAGCCAATTGCAATGACTCTGGTGGGATGGAAGCTATGTTCCTGTAATTTTGTGGCCCATAGTGGGGTGGAAGACATGTTTGTGTGCTTTCATGGCCCAGTGTGGGGTGGAATCCATGTTCCCATTATTGTAGGGCCCATAGTGTGGTGGAGGCCATGTTCCTGTGATTGTAGGGCCCCTCGTGGGGTGGAAGTCATGCTCCTGTGAGTGCAGGCTCTGTAATGGGGGTGGAAGGAATGTTCCTATGATTTCACAGCTCATAGTGGGGTAGAAGCTATGTTTCTGTGCTTGTAGGGCCCATATAGGGTTGCCACCTCATGCCTTTAAAACCGAACACATATTAGTTACACATGTTCCTGTGATTGTAGGGCCCATAGTGGGATGAAGAGCATGTTAGTTGCTTGCAAGGCCCATAGCAGGGTGGAAGGCATGTTCCTGTAATGGTAGGGGCCATAGTGGAGTGGAAGCCATTTTCCTGCCCTTGCAGGGCCCGTGGTTATCATGTTGTAATACACGGCAATTGTAGGTTGGAAGCCGTAGTCCAGGACAGGAATCTGAGGCCTCTTTGTTGCCAAGCGCCTGTTTACGTTGCTTTTCAGCGGTGAATTCTCTAGTTGGTTCTCCTGAGAATTTTCTCCTGATATGGATTAGGACGCTTCCTCTTCTCACCTCTCGGAAGGGTTGAGGTCATGTTCTCCAAGGAAAGCTTTTCAAAAACAAGCAAAAGATTTCATTAAACCCCTCCAGCTAATTAAAAGCCCAACTTTTGTGGCCAATCTTCAATTGGCTAATCCCTGGAGAATAATATTATCATAGACAGGGCCTCTCAATCTGAGGCCTCGTACAGCTGTGGAGGCTGAACTGCCTTTCTGTATGTTGGACACCCAATCTATCCTCCAGGGTCAGGAGACGGTTGGCTGGACAGCAGTGTATGGATACCAGAAGGTCCAACCCCACCAGAGGTCCTCACCACATCACTCTATTGTGAACTTCCATAATGACAAGTCCATCTCTCCAGACTTCAGGAGTGCAGCAAGTCTGCCAATCTTCCACAGCAGCAGTCGGCTCCTGGGGCCATTTTGCCGGAGTTTGGTGGGACCCGTTCTCACAAGACATCTTGTCTGCAGCTCTCGTATGGTGAGGTAAAAGTCCAACACAGAGAGAAAGTGGCCAATCAGATTTGATGTTTTACTGATGTCCATAAAGTCTGCTTCCCATTGGGGGTCCTCCTCCTCTCCCTGAAGGGTCCCTCAAGGTCCAGTTCTTGGGCCCTTCCATTCAGTTAATGACCTCTCATGTATTCTAATACTATACCCCTCCCCCCCCCTCCCGTCTCCTCGCCCATCACCCTCCCGTCTCCTCGCCCATCTCACCCTCCCCGTCTCCTCTCCCCCTCACCCTCCCGTCTCCTCGCCCCTCCCCCTCACCCCCTCCCGTCTCCGCCACCTCACCCTCCCCTCGCCCGCCTCCCTCCCGTCTCCCTCTCCCCTCACCCTCCGTCTCCTCGCCCATCACCCTCCCGTCTCCCCGCCCCTCGCCCCTCCCCCCTCTCCTCCCCCCCCCTCCCCCCGTCTCCTCGCCCCTCGCCCTCCCCTCCGTCTCCTCCCCCCGTCGCCCTCCCCACCCTCTCCCGTCCCCTTCGCCCCTCTCCCTCCCCGTCTCCCTCCGCCCTCGCCCTCGCCGTCCCTCCTCGCCCTCCGCCCTCCCTCCAACTTCCATCCCTGTCTCCCCCTCGCAACTCACCCTCCCTCTCCGTCTCCTCGACCATCACTTATTTAGTGACATATCAGTATGGAAGGTCGACACTCCTCTCTGCCAATCCCTCCACTGGCCTCCATTCAGTGTCCTCCAACCTCCCTGCCAATCCCTCCACTGGCCTCCATTCAGGGTCCTCCACCCTCTCTCTGCCAATCCCTCCACTGGCCCTCATTCAGTGTCCTCCAACCCTCCTGCCAATCCCTCCAATGGCCTCCATTCAGTGTCCTCCAACCCTCCCTGCCAATCCCCTCCTCTGGCCTCCATCAGTGTCCTCCAACCCTCCCCTCCCTGCAATCCCTTCCATGGCCTCCATTCAGTGTCCTCCCCTCAATCCCTCCTCTGGCCTCCACCCCCTCTGCCAATCCCTCCACTGTCCTCCATTCAGTGTTTCCCCACCCCCTCTCTGCCAATCCCTCCACTGGCCTCCATTCAGTGTCCTCCCCCCTCTCTGTCATTCCCTCCTCTGGCCTCCACTCAGTGTCCTCCACCCCCTCTGCCAATCCCTCCACTGGCCTCTATTCAGTGTCCTCCACCCCTCTCTGCCCAAATCCCACTGTCCTCCTCTGTGTCCTCCACCCCTCTCTGCCAATCCCTCCACTGGCCTCCATCAGTGTCCTCCACCCCTCTCTGCCAATCCCTCCACTGACCTCCATTCAGTGTCCTCCACCCCTCTCTGCCGATTCCTCCACTGGCCTCCACTCAGTGTCCTCCACCCCTCTCTGCCAATCCTCCACTGGCCTCCATTCAGTGTCCTCCACCCTCCCTGCCAATCCCCCACTGACCTCCATTCAGTGTCCTCCCACCCCTCTCTTTTGATTCCTCCACTGGCCTCCATTCAGTGTCCTCCACCCTCTCTGCTGATCCCTCCACTGGCCTCCATTCAGTGTCCTCCACCCCTCTCTGTCGATCCCTCCACTGTCCTCCACTCAGTGTCCTCCACCCCTCTCTGACGATCCCTCCACTGGCCTCCATTCAGTGTCCTCCACCCCTCTCTGTCGATCCCTCCACTGTCCTCCATCAGTGTCCTCCACCCCTCTCTGCTGATCCCTCCACTGTCCTCCATTCAGTGTCCTCCACCCCTCTCTGTCTTTCCCTCCACTGGCCTCCACTCAGTGTCCTCCACCCCTCTCTGCCGATCTGTCCCCTGGCCTCCATTCAGTGTCCTCCACCCCTCTCTGTCTTTCCCTCCACTGACCTCCATTCAGTGTCCTCCATTCCCTCTCTCCGTGCCGATCCCTCCACTGGCCTCCATTCAGTGTCCTCCAGCGCTCTCTGCCGATCCCTCCACTGGCCTCCATTCAGTGTCCTCCACCCCTCTCTGCTGATCCCTCCACTGTCCTCCATTCAGTGTCCTCCACCCCTCTCTGCCGATCCCTCCACTGTCCTCCATTCAGTGTCCTCCACCCCTCTCTGCCGATCCCTCCACTGTCCTCCATTCAGTGTCCTCCACCCCTCTCTGTCTTTCCCCCCACTGACCTCCATTCAGTGTCCTCCACCCCTCCCTGCCGATCCCTCCACTGGCCTCCACTCAGTGTCCTCCACCCCCCTCTGCCAATCCCTCCACTGGCCTCCACTCAGTGTCCCTCCACCCCCCTCTGCCAATCCCTCCACTGGCCTCCACTCAGTGTCCTCCACCCCCCTCTGCCAATCCTTCCACTGGCCTCCACTCAGTGTCCTCCACCCCCCTCTGCCGATCCCTCCACTGGCCTCCATTCAGTGTCCTCCACCCCTCTCTGCCGATCCCTCCACTGGCCTCCACTCAGTGTCCTCCACCCCCCTCTGCCAATCCCTCCACTGGCCTCCACTCAGTGTCCTCCACCCCCCTCTGCCAATCCCTCTACTGGCCTCCACTCAGTGTCCTCCACCCCCCTCTGCCAATCCTTCCACTGGCCTCTGCTTGATAAACATACAAAATTCAAAACACTAATAGCCTACAAAGCCATCCACAACTCGGCCTCCATCTACATCACCAATCCTGTCTCCAGATATCACTCAATCCATTCTCTCTGCTCCTCCCAAGACCTCCTACACTCTAACTCCCTCATCACCTCCTCCCATGCTCACTTCACCAGAGCCTCTGCCATGCTCTGGAGCTTCCTACCCCAATCTGTCCAGAGACTCCCCCATCCTCTGGAACTCCCTACCCCAATCTGTCCAGAGCCTTCCCCATCCTCTGGAACTCCCTACCCCAATCTGTCTGGCTGCTTCGTACTCTGTCTTCCTTCAGGGGATCTGTTCAGGGAAGCCTGTCTTGCCTCTACCTCCTTCACCAGCTCATCCCTCTGTTTTGTATCACTTGTCCCTCCTTTTAGATTGTAAGCTCCCAGGACTAGGGCCCTCTGCACCCTCTCGTATTGAAGTGTATTGTCATCAGAACCGACCTCCGGCAATATCATGAAAAGCCCAATAACAGACAAAATACCAAAACCAGCCTTTGCTGCAATATTCACCCTCAATCCACAGATTTTCCCTACATACCACTTTCTGCCACAAGATGTCCTCAGTCCAATGGCCGGCATTATTCAATCCACTTCCTCTGAGCCCAGGTCAAAGTGGGACCACCCCCAGCCTGTGATTGGACAGTGAAATGAGAAGCAGCGCAGTGATGCACTCATCTCTCTGTCACTCTCCTCTCTCCTCCTATCAGCATGCTCCTTGTTAGCACTGATTGGCTGCCTGTGTTCTGCTGTACAGGGGCTGCCATTGGCTGATAGCAGGTGACATCTCGGTACTGACCCATTTATTGATGACAGATCTGCATTTGTTGGTGTCGGTCCGGAGTTCAGCATGACCTCTTCTACCTGTCAGGATGGTGCGGCTCCTTCATCCTATGACTGCAATCCTAGAGCCACAGCTGGGGTCAGACGTTGCAGAGATATTTCCCCCCCCCCCAACAACATCTCAAAGAGTTTGAGGCCTAAAGGCGCACTAGAGGAGCGAGAAGAGAAGGACAAGCTGCCAACCGTCACTAACTGTCATCGGGCCCCACAAATCTCCCCGCCATCTGTGGCCCATCAAACAAGAAGCATTTTCCTCCATTAATCTCCTGTAGGCTCTCCGCAGCTTTCATTTCAAAAGGCTTGGCATTGTATCTGGAGGAAAAAAGAACTTCATTTCTCCAGAACAGCTGGCTCCCCGGCTTTGAAATGTGAGCCCTCACTGCTGACATGCTTGTTGGAGCCCAGAAACCCAGCTAATTAGTGGCCAGGCCGGGGCAGAGCTGGACGTTGTCACCCGTCCCGGAGAAGACCAAGTAATGACTCATAATTACCCAGAAAAGGGGCTTCAATGCTGACCCCACGTGCCCCACACCCTCCAATCTGCTGATCTTCACCTGACAATCAACACAGACATCACTTTTCTTCTGGATTTTCGGGGACTTGATTGGAATCTCATTTCCAGACACACTTATATAGTCAGATCTGACGAGTACCTGTCATACACTGAAACTAACCCTGAGGAAGTCAGATCTGATGAGTACCTGTCATACACTGTCCCTAACCCTGAAGAAGTCAGATCTGACGAGTACCTGTCATACACTGAAACTAACCCTGAGGAAGTCAGATCTGATGAGTACCTGTCATACACTGTCCCTAACCCTGAAGAAGTCAGATCTGACGAGTACCTGTCATACACTGAAACTAACCCTGAGGAAGTCAGATCTGATGAGTACCTGTCATACACTGTCCCTAACCCTGAAGAAGTCAGATCTGACGAGTACCTGTCATACACTGAAACTAACCCTGAAGAACTCAGATCTGATGAGTACCTGTCATACACTGTCCCTAACCCTGAAGAAGTCAGATCTGATGAGTACCTGTCATACACTGACGCTAACCCTGAAGAAGTCAGATCTGATGAGTACCTGTCATACACTGTCCCTAACCCTGAAGAAGTCAGATCTGATGAGTACCTGTCATACACTTACACTAACCCTGAAGAAGTCAGATCTGATGAGTACCTGTCATACACTGAACCTAACCCTGAAGAAGTCAGGTCTGATGAGTACCTGTCATACACTGACACTAACCTTGAAGAAGTCAGATCTGATGAGTACCTGTCATACACTGAACCTAACCCTGAAGAAGTCAGGTCTGATGAGTACCTGTCATACACTGACACTAACCCTGAAGAAGTCAGATCTGATGAGTACCTGTCATACACTGTCCCTAACCCTGAAGAAGTCAGATCTGATGAGTACCTGTCATACACTGTCCCTAACCCTGAAGAAGTCAGATCTGTTGAGTACCTGTCATACACTGTCCCTAACCCTGAAGAAGTCAGATCTGATGAGTACCTGTCATACACTGACGCTAACCCTGAAGAAGTCAGATCTGTGGAGTACCTGTCATACACTGTCCCTAACCCTGAAGAAGTCAGATCTGATGAGTACCTGTCATACACTGACACTAACCTTGAAGAAGTCAGATCTGATGAGTACCTGTCATACACTGACACTAACCCTGAAGAAGTCAGATCTGATGAGTACCTGTCATACACTGACACTAACCCTGAAGAAGTCAGATCTGATGAGTACCTGAGTACCTGTCATACACTGTCCCTAACCCTGAAGAAGTCAGATCTGATGGGTACCTGTCATACACTGTCCCTAACCCTGAAGAAGTCAGATCTGATGAGTACCTGTCATACACTGTCCCTAACCCTGAAGAAGTCAGATCTGTTGAGTACCTGTCATACACTGACGCTAACCCTGAAGAAGTCAGATCTGATGAGTACCTGTCATACACTGTCCCTAACCCTGAAGAAGTCAGATCTGATGGGTACCTGTCATACACTGACACTAACCCTGAAGAAGTCAGATCTGATGAGTACCTGTCATACACTGTCCCTAACCCTGAAGACGTCAGATCTGATGAGTACCTGTCATACACTGACACTAACCCTGAAGAAGTCAGATCTGATGAGTACCTGTCATACACTGACACTAACCCTGAAGAAGTCAGATCTGTTGAGTACCTGTCATACACTGTCCCTAACCCTGAAGAAGTCAGATCTGAAGAGTACCTATCATACACTGACACTAACCCTGAAGAAGTCAGATCTGTTGAGAACCTGTCATACACTGTCCCTAACCCTGAAGAAGTCAGATCTGTTGAGTACCTGTCATACACTGACCCTAACCCTAAAGAAGTCAGATCTGATGAGTACCTGTCATACACTGACACTAACCCTGAAGAAGTCAGATCTGTTGAGTACCTGTCATACACTGTCCCTAACCCTGAAGAACTCAGATGTGATGGGTACCTGTCATACACTGACCCTAACCCTGAAGAAGTCAGATCTGATGAGTACCTGTCATACACTGACCCTAACCCTGAAGAAGTCAGATCTGATGAGTACCTGTCATACACTGACCCTAACCCTGAAGAAGTCAGATCTGATGAGTACCTGTCATACACTGACACTAACCCTGAAGAAGTCAGATTTGATGAGTACCTGTCATACACTGTCCCTAACCCTGGATAAGTCAGATCTGTTGAGTACCTGTCATACACTGACACTAACCCTGAAGAAGTCAGATCTGTTGAGTATCTGTCATACACTGACACTAGCCCTGAAGAAGTCAGATCTGATGGGTACCTGTCATACACTGTCCCTAACCCTGAAGAAGTCAGATCTGATGAGTACCTGTCATACACTGACCCTAACCCTGAAGAAGTCAGATCTGATGAGTACCTGTCATACACTGACACTAACCCTGAAGAAGTCAGATCTGTTGAGTACCTGTCATACACTGTCCCTAACCCTGAAGAAGTCAGATCTGTGGAGTACCTGTCATACACTGACACTAACCCTGGATAAGTCAGATCTGTTGAGTACCTGTCATACACTGTCCCTAACCCTGAAGAAGTCAGATCTGATGGGTACCTGTCATACACTGTCCCTAACCCTGAAGAAGTCAGATCTGATGAGTACCTGTCATACACTGTCCCTAACCCTGAAGAAGTCAGATCTGATGGGTACCTGTCATACACTGACCCTAACCCTGAAGACGTCAGATCTGATGAGTACCTGTCATACACTGACCCTAACCCTGAAGAACTCAGATCTGATGGGGTACCTGTCATACACTGACCCTAACCCTGAAGAAGTCAGATCTGATGAGTACCTGTCATACACTGTCCCTAACCCTGAAGAAGTCAGATCTGATGAGTACCTGTCATACACTGACACTAACCCTGAAGAAGTCAGATCTGATGATCTAAGCATACCCCTTTTAAGCCACACCCATTATTCAGTACTATGTAGCCACACCCACTTTTATGCTGCTGAGCATCCTGTATATCCAGGATGTCCCTCTATCAAATCTAAGGTTTGAAGGCTCTAATAGACGTTGTGCAAGCCGCGCCTTTCCCTTGGCCAGCAGATGTCATCAATGCGGTTTAGTTGAGCAGTTTCATGTTAGGAATGTCAAGGTCCTACCTTTTCCCTGAGGTTATGTTACTCCATGTGCTGGCGTCCATCTTGGATTTCTGCTGTGCATGATGGGAATCCTTTTATGCCTTCAGGTCTCTGAGGTCCATCCCCCAGAGGGGTGTGGCTGATGACATATAAGCCTGTGGCCCGCACATGCTCTTTGCACTTGTGTCTTGTGTCTTTGTGTTGCTATTACTCTGTTCTGACTCTCGTGACTCTCCTGGATTCTGACTCGGCTTGTGACTCGACCATTCTTTGTGTTCTCCTTTGATCTGACCCTCTGTTGCTGAACCCGGCTCGTGACCTGTGATTC